TGGCACTTGTCTGTAAGCGTGACACTCCAGTAGTGAAGGCAAGAAAATCAGAAGTTGAAGGTCATCCTTAGCTACATAGATAGAAATTATCTATATATACATGAGACCCCAGTCTCAAAGAACAAACAAACCCTGGTTCCATTCAGTGTCTCAATATTTATTCTTTGCATATACTAGGCACTGTACTAAGTGTTTCTGAATGCAAATATGAATCTTTCAAAAAGAAAGCTTTATCTTCTTTTTACAATGTATTTATTCCTCTCATATTTTACATTCTGACTGCAGTTAATAAGCGTAGACACATGCCCTCATATCAAGACTGGACTAGGCAACCCAGTAGGAGAAAAGAAGTCCCCAAAGCAGGTAAAAGAGTCATAGACAGCCCCCACTCCCACTGTTGGGAGTCCCACAAGAACACAAGGCTACACAACCCTAAGGTATATGTAGAGGACCTAGCTCAGACCCATACAGGCTCCCTGATTGTCACTCCAGTCTCTGTGAGCTGCTGTGAACCCTGCTTAGTTGATTCTTGAAGGTTGAAGTTCAAAAGGGAAAGAGTAGATGCTCCAATGTGTAAGTGTGATAAAGTGTTGAGTGAAAAATAAAATGATGTAGTGGGTATAGTGGAGACACATCAGCTCTCCTCAGATGGTGACGGTGGGAGCAGAATCCTAAAAGAAAATCTGGTAATAAGAACAATAAAGTCTTGGCAAATGGAGGAAAATGGATGGGTAAAAAAAAGGTCCTAACGTATAAAGCAGATAAATGTGTTGCAAACACTATTTCACTTTGGCATGGACTGGAGCGGGGAAGGGAAGGGAGACATGAAATAGAAGAAAAACACGTAGACTGCATGATAGAAAACCTTATTGTGTTATGGAGCTTTGAACTTTGTCCTATCAGCAGTGGTGGTGCACTCCTTTAATCCTAGCACTTGGGAGGCAGAGGAAGGTGGATCTCTGTGAGTTTGAGACCAGCCTACAGAGAAACCCTGTCTCAAAAACAAAACAAAACAAAACAAATGAACAAACAGAGAAAGGACAAACAATTCTAGAATCCACAAATAAGAGAAACTAGGAAAAAATATTTTTATTTTCTGATTTTACTTAATTGGATCTCCATTTGCACCCATTTTCCAGCAAATGACATAATTTCATTCTTCTTTATGGCTCAATAAAACTCCATAATGTAAGAGGAGACTCCTGGGGGATGGAGAAAAGGCTCAGCAGTTAAGAGTATGTACTGCTCTATCAGAAGACCCAAGTTCAATTCCCAGCACCCATATTGGGTGACTCACAACCACCTGTGACTACAGCTCCAGAAGATCCAAAGCCTCTGACCTCCATGGGCACCTGCAGTCATTTTATTTGTGACTTAGTAGTGGTTCAATCCCAAATTCATACAACATGCACAGACTTGTCAAGGGCACCAAATGAAGTACTACTCAGTTCAGATCCCAATTTCTTCAGCTGCAGACTAAAGAAAAGTTAAACTTATATCTCTATTCGACCCTTCTCACCATTCCTTACTATAGCATATGTTTACTGGGTATTGCAAGTAATCTATAGATGGGAATATATACATAAAGAATGTAAATGCTAGATCATTTTAAGTGAGATTTGAGCATCCAAGGATTTGGGTATCACTCAACTGTTGTCCCTGCCCTGCTAATGAGCATGTAAAAAATATGTTAGCCATAGTTCTTCCTCCCTCTTCTCACCTTAGGTTAGAGCAAGGGTTTTTTTTTGGAGTGAAATTAAAGAGATATTTGCCAGGCACAGTAAATTCTAGGCCCAAGGAAACCAGAGCCATGTGGAGCAGAACTCAGCTCAGAGTTACAGTCGTTGCTGAGAAGCCTGCCCCTTTCCTCCATGGTTAACCACTAGCCTCTACTCCATCCCTCCTCTTTATCCTGGTGATAGTAGCAGGAGAGAATTAGAGAACGAATTCTGAATCCCAGGGGCTTCTTTAATATTTATAAGGACCATTTTCTATTTTTTTTGTTTTTTTTTTTTGAGACAGGGTTTCTCTGTGTAGCTTTGGAGCCTATCCTGGCACTCGCTCTGGAGACCAGGCTGGCCTCACACTCCCAGAGATCCGCCTGCCTCTGCCTCCCGAGTGCTGGGACTAAAGGCTTGCGCCACCAACGCCCAGCCATTTTCTATTTCTTTTGAAGACAGTTTCATGTAGTCACCCCAGGGTGGCCTCAATATGTGACTAAGGATGATCTTGTACTCCTGGTTGTCTCCCTATCTTCGGGGTTTCCTGTAACCCAGGCTGGCCTCAATAAATAGCTGAGGATGCCTTTGAATCCCTGTTCCTCATGCTTGTACCTCTCAAGTACAAGGACTACTGGAATAAGTCAAACCCCACCACCTTCTTTTTCAAAAGGACTATTCTTAATTAACACTAAGTTTTTCAAGGAGGAATTCCTAAATCCTAACGTTTGAGCTTCTGGAGGATGCACAAAGGGGAGAAGGTAAGTTTCTTAGACATCCTACAGTCCCGTCAGGTCCCAGAACTTCCAGATATGCACTGAGTAGCTTCTCCAAATGCCACACCCCCCAAGGATGAATCACTTAACACTCAAGAATAGATTCTTAGCTATAGTATTATGGAACCTGTAAGCAGCCATCCTCCTGTCCCTGTAACCACATCCAGAAGAAACCTTATTTTCAGCATTGGGACTCAAATCCAGGGCTTCACCTCTGAACCCTTGTTGCTTCTTTCTCAAGAGAAAACTGAATGTGGGTAAGGAATCTCATCAAATCTTTAGTTCTAAGCTGAGCAGACACACATAGGATCTATTATCCATGACTCCAAATGGAGACTGTATTCTTTATTAGAAATGGGGTGGATATTGACATTATAGAGAGCCTAGTATTCTCTTTGTTGTAGAGTAGGAGAGATACATCAAAAGACTTCTACCATTGCCACCCCCTTTCTTAATGCTTGGGACAGGCCATCTCACTTCTAACCAGAGAAGGGTCACATGTCCTGAAACTGTAGTAACTAGATCTCTAAAGGCATTAATGGTACTGATGGTAAAAATAGAGCCTACCGATTCCCTTTCCCAAAAAGCTGTCACAATTGATTTTTTAATGTCTGCTTTTACTTTTCCATTCAAATGAGGCAGACCCTGAAGAGGCAAAGAAGTGGGAAATAAAAGTGTTCAGTCAAATGCTTCAAATCACTTCAAAGGCAATCCTGTAGCGTTATCCTTGGACCTGTATTTGTTTTATTGCTTGTATCTTATTGCCTCAGTTTCCCCTTTTATAAATTAGATGATTATTTTGGAAATGTAATTGAAGATTCACAGTACCATAGCTTCAAGTGAGAGTAACACACACACACACACACACACACACACACACAGAGAGAGAGAGAGAGAGAGAGAGAGAGGATGTGCTGGTCATCTGCTTCTAATGGGAACATACTTAAATGGGGATATTCTGAAAGTTTTGTGTTGGCTGTGTGTTACACTCCAATAGCATTTACAGAGAGAATTATATGAGAGTGGAAGAGTGCACTTACAAAAATATATTTTGCCTAAAAGTCTCAGCTTAGTTACTATCTTAGATCGCATAAAACCTACACAAATGCTGCAAAATTTGCTGACTCATGTATGATTTC